CACAGCCTGGAATCACAAGACATGACATTCAAGACCAAGCAAGTATACTTATAACGGATACACAGTTAAGTGATGCTGACAAGTATTGGTGTCAAGTAGAACGTTTAGGTGATCCGAGAGATGAAAAATCAATCAGTCTAACAGTAACACGTGAGTATCCGTTTTTTTTTTTAAATAACCTAACATTCATTTACGCATGGTATTGTCTTAGTCAGATGTATCTGGTGCATTTTAGCCCACCTGGTTAATTTACTTTTTAATATAGTTGCATAATAGAAATGACCAGGTTCCGAACCTCATGGCTATTGACATATAGTACATGCGATGAAGGTGCTGGCTAGACATAATACTATTGCCCTCGATTTGATTCTAGAGGACTATTTACTTTGCACTGTAAGTAAGCAGTAATGAACAGGTTATGCTCCACCATCGCCAACTTCGGTTCCGAAATATTGGTTGATAGCCGACAAGTGAATGGGGCGGGACAATAACACTGGTTGTCAGTTTCAGTTATCCATAATAATGAGGTCACGTAATCATATTATTAATCATATTTTTTGCCTATTGCCTTCATTATAGCACTGGTGCTTGCAATATTACAGATATCCATATTAATGTGGTCACCTGAAATTTGTAGTTATTAATTAATAGTCAACTTTGCCTGTTTATTATGTAACAGTGAACCAAAGAGCCACTGACCGAGGGTTAATCAGAAAGACCTGCATTTTAGTTTCGAGGAAGAAACTAATATTTTAAAATCGATAACACCTTTTTATATTCAGTGAACACTGGTATCATTGACATAAGATATATACATGGGGAAATGTTGATATTATTATTACACAATATAAATAGATGTTTTCTTATATCTACATAGCTGCAACACCACCATCTCAGCCTACAATAAGTATTACAGCTGGTAGTAATCCATCTAATGCAGGCAATATAATCAGATTAAAATGTACATCTACTGGTTAATCCCGACTCCGAGTTACAGCTGGCTAAGAGATAACCAACCGCTACCTGCAATAGCTAGATATCAAGTCAGCAGTGATGGTAGTGAATGTACTATTAATCCCAGTGAC